CGACTTCAGACGGGTTTTGCCAGAGCTCAGTTGTGGGAACAGATAAAGATCCTTTTGCTAAACCTCCAAACCTGATTTTTTTAGTTTTTGGATTCGTAATAATGGCACTCCGCTGTCCAAGACAGCGGACAGGGTGCCGGCGCCCCGAGGGGTCCCAAAACAGAGGGGGGACCCCCCACACAATTCCTTTGGCCTTGCCATGCACCAGGGCATTGTGGGAAATAAATGGCTACCCAGCATTCTTCGGAAGGGAGCCTGCCATTTGCGCCCGGCCTTCTCAAACCAGGGTAAAAGGTAAAGGGACCCCTGACCATTAGGTTCAGTCGTGGCCGACTCTGGGGTTGCGGCGCTCATCTCGCTTTACTGGCTGAGGGAGCCGGCGTACAGCTTCCGGGTCATGTGGCCAGCAGGACTAAGCCGCTTCTGGCGAACCAGAGCAGCGCACGGAAACGCCGTTTACCTTCCTGCCGGAGCGGGACCTATTTATCTACTTGCACTTTGAGGTGCTTTTGAACTGCTAGGTTGGCAGGAGCAGGGACTGAGCAACGGGAGCTCACCCCGTCATCGCGGGGATTCGAACCGCTGACTTTCTGATCAGCAAGTCCTAGGCTCTGTGGTTTAACCCACAGCACCACCCGCGTCCTCTCAAACCAGGGAGCCAGCCCTAAAAAGAGAATAACGACAGGGTGCAAAATGGTGTCCACACTCATATTTCGACCGCCACCATTTTTATTTTCTCATAATTCCTCATCACGAGGGAGGGAACGCTTCTCCCCATCCCTTCCCAGCGGCAAAGTGGGGCCACGAGCTTTTTAAAAAGGGGGACCTTCCATTCCTCACCCTGCCCCAAACTGCCCCAGATGGACACAGCATCTGTGGGGATTTTGGAGGGACGGAAATGCCAAGTAGTTTTCCCACAGCGTTCCCTCTTTGTCCAGCTGCAAAAAATAAAGCCTCCAAAGTGGCAAAAAGCTCAGATATGAAAACAAACAGGACTTTAGCCAACGCATATCAAAACCCACACCCATTTTTTTATTTAAAATTTTGCTCCATTAAAAGAAACCCCACCAGTAACGACAAAGTAGATAGTGCTTGTGTTGAAAAAACAGCTGTGCGGTTTCTGAAAGAATCGTAATTTTTTTTTTTATTGCTTCCTGTCCACTTTTTTTGCATCAAACATCACACTGTTTCCCTCCTTCCAAACATATGTGATTTTAGCAGGCAGAGAGGCAGGGGAATTTCACGTGATTCCTGCATTTTCCTGGTTCAGAAAATCCACACGCCGCTCTGTGTTAATTCCTGGACGAAAATACGGGTTGCGAACAGAAGGAGCGGTTTAGAAACTTGAAAACGTTGTCCAGAAAGCACAAAACCTACATGTTGTTTGCTCTGGTGAAAATATTATCTTGTCCTTTTAAAAAAAAAAAAAATGAGAAACCCCAATCATTAGGTCTCCATCCAAGCACTTAATGTGTGTATCTGTAAATAGAAAGATATTGCAAAAACCCAAACGGTATCCAAACCTCACAGCATATATATCCTTTCAAAGGCACCCCCTTTTGAATTCCCAGCTCACTTGTTTTCGTCCTCCTGGTTGCAAGAGGTGAATAAGTCTCTTTATTTGATCAAATCTTCATTGTTTTCAACAAGGACCAGCATTTAAGAAGCGAAAACATTTTTGGTTAGACAAGCCTGCCCAAATGTTAATTCGATGTGAGTTTTAATCTGTGTTGTTTTTTTTAAAGCTTATCGTTATTTCAACCTCGAGAATTATTGTTTCATCTTTTTTTGCAAACCGCTTTGGTGTTTGTCTGTATTTTTACAATCCAGAGCAGCATATTCCTGCGTTGCGGAGAGTTGGGTCCCTCCCAACTCTGCGATTTTATGATTCTAGATAAGTTTCAAATAAAACCCAGAACCACGTTGAACACATTATCCAATGAAATAAAATAAAGCAGGACGGAGTGAATTTAAATTAAGCGTTTTTGAGTCCCGTCGTGAACTCCAAGAAGGAAACTTTCAAGATACGCGAGGTCAGGTTCCTGGTGGGTTTTGCTAATGCAGTTCTTCGCAATATACAGGTGAAACTCGAAAAATTAGAATATCGTGGGAAAGGTCATTGATTTCAGGAATTCAACTTGAATGGTGAAACTATGAGATCGACTCGTGACATGCAAAGCGCAACGTGCTTCTACTTCTCAGAGGTCCAATCTTGCTCAATTTGCAATCCTTGTTTTGCTGATTTCCTTGAATATTCTAATTTTCTAAGATGGTTAATTTGGGATTTTCACCAGCTGTACGCCATGATCATGGCAATGATCACAAATCAAGGCTTGACATATCTCACTTTGCATGTCACAAGTCGATCTCATATATTAGTTTCACCTTTCAAGTTGAATTCCTCAAATCAATGAACTTTCCCATGAAATTCTACTTTTTCGAGTTTCACCTGTAGAACAAATCAAGACTTGACATATCTCGCTTTGCATGTCGCGAGTCTATATCATATATTAGTTTCACCTTTCCAGTTGAATTCCTGAAATCAAGGAACTTTCCCACAATATTCTAATTCTTCGAGTTTCACCTGTAACTGTTTTAAAAATCTGATTCTTCATTTCTTCAACGCCTCTCCATTCAGAAGGAGCGTTAAGGATAGGACAAGAGATGCAGATGAGCTGAGGCAACGCTTGAATCTACAGTTCCCCGGATAAGCAATGCTCTTAAATCGGTGTCTGAACGTGGTGTTAACACGAATTTTCAGTGACCCTTCCGAGCAAAGGCCTTTTCTTCAAACAGGATGTCCCCCGCCTGGCTCCCGAGTCGGGACTGTCAAGGCCGATCTGTTTCAGGGACAGACGGAAAATCCACCTTGTCAAGTCACGGCCTCCCTAAAAGTGCTTTTCAAATGCACCTTTTCTTTCCGCCCCTCAGCCGAACTGTCCATCCTAATCCGGGCCAATTTCATGCCTCGGAGAGTTCCCACCCACCACCCTGAGCTTTTAATTGCAAACTTTTTTGCTCTTTCTCTCAAACCGACCCAGCCTCCTCCTCCTCTCTTCGCCCGCCTCTCCCGACTTATCTGCAGAGCGCCCTCGGAAGCGTATCATTTGCCTTGTCAGGTTTTTATTGGGGGAAATCCGAACATGTCCAAGGATGTTCGGCGGAGAAAAGAGCCCCGCTTGGGGGTCGGACAACTTTTGACATCAGTTTGATCAAAGATGCGGTATTAAAAGCGGGGGCTTTTGTGCGTGGGGTTCGCCCCCCTGCCCAAATCGCCCGGCTAAAGAAACGGAGGAAGCACCTCGGAGATGGTTAAGCTTCTTAACAGGGGCTAGGCAACATCTGTGGGTCAAACGGCAATCGGCGCGAGGTCTTTCCCATGGGGGGAGACACATCTGGTAGGCCGCTGTGAGAGTAGGATACTGGACTCAGCCTCGGCCCAGAAGCCAAGCTCTTCCGGTGCTCCTATATTAAGGTATCAGGAAAGGATATATTGATTTACATACAGTGGTACCTCGGGTTAAGAACTTAATGCATTCCAGAGGTCCGTTCTTAACCTGAAACTGTTCTTAACCTGAAGCACCACTTTAGCTAATGGGGCCTTCCGCTGCCGCCGCTGCGCGATTTCTGTCCTCGTCCTGAAGCAAAGTTCTTAACCTGAGGTACTATTTCTGGGTTAGCGGAGTCTGTAACCTGAAGCGTCTGTAACCTGAGGTACCACTGTATAAGCTAAACAAGCTATAGCTTAGGGCCCCACTCTCTTCGGGGCCCCCCAAAAAAATTAAAGGGAAAAAACTGGATTTACATTTCCAAAACATAAGATAAAAAACAAATGAAATAAAACCTACATCCAGCAACAGTCTTTTGTATTGTGTAAGCTCCTAGGATGTAACTCATGGGCCCCGCCTGCTATCCTGCTCCTAAAATATCATTGGTTTGCTCATTTCTATATATAGGGTGTGGGACGCAGGTGGCGCTGTAGGTTAAACCACAGAGCCTAGGACTTGCCGATCAGAAGGTCAGCGGTTCGAATCCCCGCAATGACGGGGTGAGCTCCCGTTGCTCGGTCCCTGCTCCTGCCAACCTAGCAGTTCGAAAGCAGTTGCGGCACTCATCTCGCTTTATTGGCCAAGGGAGCTGGCGTCCAGCTTCTGGGTCATGTGGCCAGCATGACTAAGCTGCTTCTGGCGAACCAGAGCAGCGCACGGAAACGCCGTTTACCTTCCCACCGGAGCGGTACCTATTTATCTACTTGCACTTTGACGTACTTTCGAAGTACTAGGTTGGCAGGAGCAGGGACCGAGCAACGGGAGCTCACCCCGTCACGGGGATTTGAACCGCCAACCTTCTGATCAGCAAGTCCTAGGCTCTGTGGTTTAACCCACAGCGCCACCCGCATGCAAGGATCTTGAACACAACTCGGTAGTAGGTGCAGTCTGGCCTTTCCCTCCAGCCAGGGCGTCTGAACCAGGTCCGAGGGCAGCCCCACCAAATGTACATTACAATAGTCCAGCCTCAAAGTTACCAATCCATGGATTGTAACGGCAAGGCTGTCTCTGTTCAGGGATGAAAAGGGAACTTGCTGGAAGTGGCTACCTTGGGTCCATGAATTTAAAGCGGCTGACTCTTGAGTAGGGCCTCTGTCGGAGACAGCCCTACACGAATCGCCCAGCGAGGGCAGCCTGCCCTGAAACACGGGCTATTTGAGCAAAATGAAAAAGAGTGTGGAAGGGAAACAATTGACCCCATTGCACTGTTTGTGTTCATGGTGCAAAATTCACGAAGGAAGCCAAACCACAACAACATTGGTGTCATTTTGGGCTATAGGGTTCTGAAACAGAGCAGGGAATTTAAGAACAGGGGCTTCAGAAATAACCCTATAAATCTGCCCTTTTTGGAAATGTGTAAAATTGAAACTTTATGTGGGAGACATATGGCTTTTTTTTTGGGTGACGACGTTCTGTCTCTCCTCTCCTCTCCTTCCCTTTTGTCTCTTGCAGCGGCGACGCCTCCGAACTTGGTCGACAAGCCCTGCTTAAAGCTAAAGGTTTACGTCCGGCCGACAAGTAAGTGACGTCTCAGGACACCGGAAAGATCCCCTGCAGGTTCCAGGGTGCCATTTCGGCAAATCCCAGGGTGCAAATTTGCACACAAACACATACCCATCTGGGATTCACGATTCAGGGATCGGGATCCATAAAATGAAAGCAATGATCAATGTACTGTACTATAAAATAAGTAAGACAGTGTTGTAGATTTAAAAGATAAAAATTCTTACCTGCGCTGATGATAGTCACAAAAACAAATGAACCGAAAAAGGCACAAAAACTCAAAATAAATCACAAAAACAAAAGCGCCAAACTTAATCTGTTCCGGAAGCCCGTTTGACTTCCGAAATGATCGAAAACCAAGGCGCGGCTTCTAATTGGTGCAGGCGCCCTGGAAACAATAGCCGACAGCCGCATTGGACGACTGGCTTCCGAAAAACGTTCGAAAACCGGAACACTTGCTTCCGGGTTTTCGGTGTTTGAGAACCAAGGCGTTTGAGAACCAAGGCGTTTGAGAACCAATGCGTTTGAGAACCAAGGCATTTGAGAAATAAGGCGTTTGAAAACCAAGGTCCCACTGTATGTTCATAGTAATGGCGACGATGCAAAACGTTTTCCGGGGAAACTGGAAGATCAAACCTTTCCTTCCGCATGTTTTCCCCGTGAGATCAAATCAGTGAAAGGTCTATTAGACCCCACCTGCACCGACCTTCACCCCACTCTTTCTAAACCCACTTCAACCGCTGGCTTTCTTGGCGACGGGTGAAATGCCAGGCGCAGGGGGTGCTTTTGGCCCAAGAAAATAGCACTCAGATCTCTGACAAATTATCTTCGGCTCTGCTTTGGGGCTGGAAGAAAGAGGGAAATAAAATAAATCTAGATTGATGCCTGCTTGGTATATAACCCCACAGGGCTGCTTCTGTTTTCGCAGAGGGGGGGGAGAGAGCAAATTATTTTAGGGTTTTTTGTTTTTTCCTTCCCTCTTTTCTTTTTCGTAAAAAAGACCAGCCTCCAGCTCTCTGTACAGGGGAGTTTCTCCCCCACTTCCCGCGAATCAAATAGTCACAGCTGTTTTGGAGAAAAAAGAAAACACAAATTAATAATTTTCTCCTCCTGTTAACGTATAATTAGTATTTGGCCAGCGCTCTTCCCAGGGAGCAGGTAGAAAAGAGTGAGAAATGTCAGAGTCTAAAGGGATATTGTACGGGCTTGTTTTTTCCCTTCCCTTGTTTCATGTGTGTGATTGAGGCAGCTTTTAAAGAAAACAAGAACGCTTTGCTAATGGAAGAATAAATGGCTTTTTAAAAAAATATTTTAAAAACCCCAGTGGTTATAGGCCATTAGGCATGTCCGTTTCTCGTCCCCCACCCCACACCCTTAAATCTCAGTCGCCACATCAGTTTGTGAACCCCCCGCCCCCCATAAAAAGCCAGTGTTTTTCTGCAAATTTATCCTAAGCTACATCTAATATCATGCAGTTTCACTAATTGGCACCTTGTTGCAAAGCGGTTTTCTGACAGCTGCGCTGACTGGGGCTGATGGGGCTGTAGTCCCAAAAATCCGGAGGACACCAGGTTCGGAGGGGCTGAGATATGGGGTCGCCGCTTTAGGGAACCAAATGTTCTATAGGACTCCAATCTATCTGGGCATAAGCTGCAATGATCTTAGTGGGACATACCTTGATGTAGACCTGGGTAGGACCTCACTGTAAGGCTGCTGCCTGGAACCCATTTATGAAGGAATACATCCCATTGGAAGTTAGTAATAGTATATAATTCTTATTATCATTATTATTATACCCTGCCCATCTGGCTGGGTTTTCCCAGCCACTCTGGGTGGCTCCCAACAGAATATTAAAAACACGATAAAACATCAGACATTAAAAACTTCCCTAAACAGGGCTACCTTCAGATGTCTTCTAAATGTCAGATTTATTTCCTTGACATCTGATGGGAGGGCATTCCACAGGGCGGGCGCCACCACCGAGAAGGCCCTCTGCCTGGTTCTCTGTAACCTCACTTCTTGCAGGGAGGGAACTGCCAGAAGGCCCTCGGAGCTGGACCTCAGTGTCTGGGCTGGACGATGGGGGTGGAGACGCTCCTTCAGGTATACTGGGCCGGGGCTTTTAAGGGCTTGAAAGGTCAGCACCAACACTTCGAATTGTGCTCAGATACATCCCAGAAGCCAATGTAGGTCTTTCAAGACCGGTGTTATATGGTCTTGGTGGCCGCTCCCAGTCCCCAGTCTGGCTGCCGCATTCTGAATTAGTTGTAGTTTCCTTCAAAGGTAGCCTCACATAGAGCGCATGGCAGTAGTCCAAGTGGGAGATAACCAGAGCATGCACCACTCTGGTGAGACAGTCTGCGGGCAGGGAGGGTCTCATCCTGCGTACCAGATGTAGCTGCCCTGGACACAGAAATGACCTGTACCTCCATGGACAGCTGTGAGTCCAAAATGACCCCCAGGCTGCACACCTGGTCCTTCAGGGGCACAGTTACCCCATTCAGGACCAGGGAGTCCCCCACACCTGCCTGCCCCCTGTCCCCCCAAAAACAGTCCTTCTGTCTTGTCAGGATTCAACCTCAATCTGTTAACCACCATCCATCCTCCAACCGCCTCCAGACACTCACACAGGACCTTCGCCGCATCGCTTTGCAGCGGTCTGTCTTGTTTGCTGAAGGCCCCAGGTTCATAGAGTCATAGAATTGGAAAGTTGGAAGGGACCCTGAGGGTCATCCATCCCAACCCCCCCTCGAATGCTGGAATCTTTCACCCAATGTGGGACTTGAACCCACAACCCAGAGATTAAGAGCCTGGTGAGGATGGTGAGGATGCCAGCAAGCTGGGAGGTGTCCAGAGGAGGGCGACCAAGATGATCAAGGGTCTAGAAGCCAAGCCATACGAGGGACAAATAGACAACCCCTGGTTTCCCTTCCAATCCTACAATCCCACAATTCTCTGATTCCTGCTTGGATATGCGTCTTTACACCGGCTTTTGACACCCGAGGTGCACGAGTACCAGAAACAGGTGAGAGGCACAGACACCTGCTGCCAGAATGAAATTTGGACAGATGGACAGAAGCGGTAAACAAGCGGGAAGAAAAAAGATCATTAGAAGCAAATACAGTATTGGTGTCACAAGGAGACCTTGAGGTTCGCAAGCATTTGCTTTTAGGAACCTGCTAGCAATTCTAGCATCTATGGCATGCAAGAGAAAACCATAGCTTTAACTATACGGACCTTTGTCGTCAATGTTGCGTTTGCAAAGTAAAGGAAGGGTTGAACTCTGATTAATAAGAATACACACAGAAACCTGAACCAGCAAGACTCTGGGAAGGGTGCGTAGAATCGTGTCTCTCAAAGGGGGAGACTGTGAAGAGATACGATAGCCATCTTCTGATATCTTAAGGGCTGTCACAGGGACGATGGACCAGGCTTGGTTTCTACTGCTCTGGAGGGGCTGGACTCAAACCAAGGGCCGTTGAGGTCCCTTCCAACTCTACAGTTCTGTCATTCTATGCTCTGCCAACTGAGCTATTTATGCTCCCTGCACATCCTTCCCTCTTCTGTGATTACGACAAGCGTTTTGCTCCTAATAATCATGGACTGGGAAGGGGGGCGGCGGCGGCGGAGCCGAACGCAGAACACAAAGGGGGGATTGGCATCTGTGGATATTGTTGCCCCTCGCTTTCCCCCCTCCCCTCCTCCCCTGGCTATGATCCTGCAAAAACCGCCCTTAATCCCGTCGTAAACTTTAAAAGACGAGACAAGCCGGGGGAACGGCGTCGGGAACGGCACTCGCAGTCATTTAGCCGACGCGCTTCTGTGCCGCCGGCTGACGAGGCGCCTTTTGCGGGCGGGATTATCGGACGGGCGAGAAGAAGCCGCCCTTTGACCCCTTGGCCGCAGGCAGGGCCAAGAATAATAATAATAATAATAATAATAATAATAATAATAATAATAATAATAATTTATTTATACCCTGCCCATCTGGCTGAGCTTCCCCAGCCACTCTGGGCGGCTCCCAATCAAGTGTTAAAAACAATACAGCATTAAATATTAAAAACTTCCCTAAACAGGGCTGCCTTCAGGTGTCTTTTAAAAAGAAGATAGCTGCTTATTTCCTTCACATCTGAAGGGAGGGCGTTCCGAAGGGCGGGCGCCACCACCGAGAAGGCCCTCTGCCTGGTTCCCTGTAACCTCACTTCTCGCAATGAGGGAAGTGCCAGAAGGCCCTCGGAGCTGGACCTCAGTGTCCGGGCTGAACGATGGGGGTGGAGACGCTCCTTCAGGTCTACAGGACCGTGGCTGTTTAGGGCTTTCAAGGTCAGCACCAACACTTTGAATTGTGCTCGGAAACGTACTGGGAGCCAATGCAGATCTCTCAGAACTGGTGTTATGTGGTCCCAGCGGCCACTCCCAGTCACCAGTCTAGCTGCCACATTCTGGATTAATTGCAGTTTCCGGGTCACCTTCAAAGGTAGCCCCACATAGAGCGCGTTGCAGTAGTCCAAGTGAGAGATAACCAGAGCATGCACCACTCTGGCCAGACAGTTTGTGGGCAGGTAGGGTCTCATCCTGCATACCAGATGGAGCTGCCCTGGACACAGAATTGACCTGCGCCTCCATGGACAGCTGTGAGTCCAAAATGACTCCCAGGCTGCTCATCTGGTCCTTCAGGGGCACAGTGACCCCATTCAGGACCAGGGAGTCCTCCACACCCGCCTACCCCCTGTCCCCCCAAAACAGTACTTATGTCTTGTCAGGATTCAACCTCAATCTGTTAGCCGCCATCCATCCTCCAAGAAACCAAACAGGCCCGGCCACCAGCCCCCACGAGGCGTCCTTGGCACTGGGAGATCTTGGCAAATCTCCGCCGGCTGGCCGGGGTCCATTGAGCAAAACAATAAATGAAAATGCCTCCCGTTTATTTTGAAATGGACTCTTGCCTGGGAGAGGCAGCCAGAGGGCGGCTTGCGAGCTTGTCGACACGCTGCCCTTTCCCTCTGGGTCACGGCCCTCTTCCTTTCTGCACACCCACACTGCCCACGAGAGGAAGCTGGCAACCTGGGCGGCTGGGCTGGGGCCAGGAAACAGCTAGATGAAGACGGAGCCTTGTTGCAGAAATGCGCAGTCCAGCGAGGAGCCCGGTTGCTGGATGAGGCCAAAGGGAGACCCCTCTAGTCCAGTCTTCTGTTCTGGCAGTGGCTGGCCGGATGCCCTGAGCGCAACAGGATATCTCCCCTCCTTCAGGAATCTCTCCAGCAAGTCCCGTATTTTTCGCTCGATAAGACGCACCAGACCATAAGACGCACCTAGTTTTTGGAGGAGGAAAACAAGAAAAAAAAATTCTGAATCTCAGAAGCCAGAAGAGCAAGAGGGATCGCTGCGCAGTGAAAACAGCGATCCCTCTTGCTGTTCTGGCTTCTGGGATAGCTGCGCAGCCTGCATTTGCCCCATAAGACGCACACACATTTCCCCTTACTTTTTAGGAGGGGGAAAGTGAGTCTTATAGAGCAAAAAATACGGTAGTATTCGGAAGCATCGCTGCCTCTCAAAAGCACCGCGCAAAAGGAAGGGTGCCTTGTTAAACTATGAATTTCCTCCCACATCAGGCAGGGAGTTCCACAAACAGCGATTTGAGGTCCTTCTTCATCTGCCTCCTCAATAATAATAATAATAATAATAATAATAATAATAATAATATTTATACCCCGCCCATCCGGCTGGGCTTCCCCAGCCACTCTGGGCGGCTCCCAACAGTATATTAAAAACACGATCAAACATCAAACATTAAAAACTTTCCTAAACAGAGCTGCTTTGAGAGGTCTTCTAAAAGTCAGATAGTTGTTTATTTCCTTGACATTGGATGGGATGGCGTTCCACAGGGCGGGCGCCACCACCAAGAAGGCCCTCCGCCTGGTTCCCTGTAACCTCGCTTCTCGCATGGAGGGAACTGCCAGAAGGCCCTCGGAGCTGGACCCCGGTGTCCGGGGTGGAGACGCTCCTTCAGGTATACTGGGCCGTTTAGGGCTTTAAAGGCCAGCACCAACACTTTGAATTGTGCTCAGAGACATACTGGGAACCAACGTAGGTCTTTCAGGACCGGTGTTATATGGTCTCGGCGGCCACTCCCAGTCACCAGGGGTGTAGGAAGGGGGGTGCAATTTGATCAAATCAAATCAAATGAAAAGATTTGACAATAAAAATACCTATCCATTGATAAGTATTACTTAATATACTTCAAACCTATACCAGTGTTTTTTGTACATTATATCATCCGTCTTGGGTTGAATCCCTTTCCAATTTATTGTATCGTTGACTTCCTTCCACCTCATTATGGTTTTCTCTGTTGAAGGTTTGATCCTCCGGATTTCTGATTTCCCCGGTTAATCATGCCATCTCTGTGTAGCCCAATAGTTTCATCTGCCAGTCCGCCCTCATCTTGTCATCTTTCCAACTCTGTGTGAGCAACATCCTTGCAGCTGTTACGTAGCGTACATAAACAGTCTTTTCAGTTCTTTCGGTATCTCTGCACCAACAATTCCTAACAAAAAGCCTTCTTTCTTTTTTTAAACAAAGGTTATTTTAAACATTTTTTCAACTCATTATATATCATCTCCCAGAATTCCTTTATCGCTTTACAGTTCCGCCACATGTGGAGAAAGGTGCCTTCCTTCTCTTTACATTTCCAGCATTTGAACTTGCCCTGTACATTTTCGCTTATTTGCTGGGAGTCAAATACCCAGCGGTACATCATTCACCCCCTCTTTCCCTTCTTATACCCCCTCTTTTGTTTCCTCGCAGACGATTCTCTCTACGAGTCCCCAGAGCCGATATTCACCAGCAATAACTCCTGCCACAGCTTCCGGGTCCCTGAGACTTTCTTCGTGGTGGTGGTGGTCCCGGTTTTCTGGACTATCCTGACTTCCTAGCCCTGCTAGGTGAGGACAGAAGAGGAAGAAAACTGGAGCTCTTTTCAGCAGCCGCTGGGGGGAAAAAACGAGGGGGGGAGGATTGAAAAAGCGAGAAAGAGAGAGAGAGGGGGGCGTGAACGAAGAATGGAGAGAGAACTTGCGGCGATGACTTTGTTCAGTTTTGTGTGGGGAGGGAAGGGTGTGTAGTCAATGGATCTCTGAACTGCGGTCTCAGCCACAGACGAGCTTGCGGATCGGGGCACCTCAGACAGCCAGGTGGACGGACCCTGCCTCCATTTCCCAGGTCAAGCCACTGTTACGGTTCGCAACCGGACCCCCGCTACACCCCATCAGATCTGGGGCGGCGGAAGGATCAGTGAGATAGCTGGAGAGAGAAGGCAAAAGAGACCGGTTTCTGAAAGCCTGCGGCGGGAGGCAAACAGGTTCTGTGCTTCCAAGACGCTCTGCGGACCATTTTCGTCTGGCCGGGATACAGCCCCATTGGGGGGGGGTTCCTGTTTTCCCTCCCCCACCCTATGGGGTTTTGCTTTTCAAAATTTCTAGACCAAATATAGTCTCCTTCCTTGAACCCCCCTCTATTCCTTCCTCCCAGCTTTGGTTTTTTGTGCCGGTCTTTTTTCTGCGACTGGAACCGAAAGAGACATCGCAGTGAGGTGAGAGGAGCAGGTGCCTCACCTATTGCCCTTCTGTTTTCCCCCCTTCCTCTCTGTGACCCCTTGGACAAAGGCGGGCAGCCCGTTCGACCACGGTGGCCAGATTTCCTGACTCGCAAAACGCACACACCAGGCAGCTAGGATTGGGGGGCCTAGGGGCCAAAGGGGACCACCGGCACCCCAAACCTCACAGAGGACTAGATTCCTGCTCTGCCCAAATCAGCCTTTGCTTTAGACCCCACCCCCACCCCCCCGTTTCTGTTAACTATTGTTGGTGCAGCGGACCCACTGCCATGCGGAGCCAGCAGGTAAATCCAACGCCTCGCATGTTGCGTAAGATGTCGCCGGTCTACGGGGGAGGAGATGTTCTGCCCGTCGCTCCAAAGAGGAGGACTCTGGACTTGGTGCGATGGCTGGGCAAGGGGTTTGTAGCACCGTGGGAGGGTCGCTTTTAAACCCCGCGAGGAGTTGGGGGAAGACCAACGCATGGTACGGCCAACTATGTATGACACAACTGGGTGAGCGATGGAGGTTGTCTTGTCTGTGTGCCCATCCTCACCACAAACAGGCTGCTTGGGGCATCATCCGCAAGCGTTTGGCAATAGGCACCAGGGTCACAGAGAGCCCAAGTCTAAGCAGTGGGGTGTTTGGGGTCGGCAGCCCTTCTCCCTGCACTCGCCCGCATTGTCCAGCGAAAATTGCCCGTGGCCCTCCGGTCAAAATCCCCCAGAGGGAGGACCACGCTCCAAAAATCCAACGGTGGGCATCCAATGTGGATTTGAGTAAGAACCACCCCCCAAAATTGAGCCCAGCTGGTGTCAAGAGCAGCCCTGATGGCTCTTAGGAAAGGAAGTCTACACGGTCAGACCTTGGTTCCCGAACGGCTTCCGTTTCGGAACGTTTCGACTCCCGAACGCCGAAAACCCGGAAGTACCGTATTTTTCACCCTATAGGACACACTTTTCCCCCTCCAAAAATGAAGGGGAAATGTGTGTGCGTCCTATGGGGCGAATGCAGGCTTTCGCTGAAGCCTGGAGAGCGAGAGGGGTCGGTGCGCACCGACCCCTCTCGCTCTCCAGGCTTCAGGAAGCTATCCGCAAGCCTTGCGAGCCCGTGGGAGTTCCCGCCGGGATCGCAAGGCTTGCGGATAGCAGCCTGTTCTGGGGACTGGGGTCGGGGGAAGCTCGGGCTTCCCCTGCCCCAGCCCCGCGGCTGGGGGGGGATATTTTTTTCTTTTATTTCCCCCCAAAAAAACGAGGTGCGCCCTATAGGGCGAAAAATACGGTAAATGCTCTGTTTTTTGGAACCCGGATGTCCGACGCAGCTGCCGTTTGAGTGCAGGAAGCTCTTGCAACCAATCGGAAGCCATGCCTCGGTTGTCGAACATTTTGGGAGCCGAATGGGCTTCCGGAACGGATTACGTCCAACCACGGAGGTTTGACTGTATTGGGTTTTAAAGACATAAAATTGGGCTTATATCGGAGAGTTAAAGCTGAGAAGCAGGAAGTACCGAACACCAACTGTTAATTCAAACATCACTCCAAAAAGAGTAAAAGTGGTCCCATTGGTAAAGGAGAAAAGGGGTTATTTATTCATGGTTTCTTCCTATTTAAAATAACGGTTTTGGGACGCTAAGCCGACCTAGTGCCTTGTCTCACGCAGGAGGGTGAGAAAGGGAGATTTGTAGCTTGGCAGGGAACCACGTTCGGCTTCCAAAAATCGTTCGAAATCCGGAACACTTACTTCTGGGTTTTCGGCGTTTGAGAACCAAGGGGGGGGGTGTACGTATGTACGTACACACACACACACACACATATACACACATATATAAAACAACAAAAAACAATCAGGAACAATTAAAGTCCCGGAACGATTGCTGCAGTTCAAATTGGTGCTAAATTTCAGTAAAGGATGGCAGGTTAATGTTGACATCTATACCTTGTGAGACTCTTAACTGTAGATCAGGGATTGCCAGCTCCCAAAAGACAGCGATCTAGTCACAGAGTTAAAAACTAGCAGTGATCTACCCCCTTTTGTGGGGTTCGGGTCAAAGTTGTTGTTGAGTTTTTCTTAGGACGGAGGAAGGCCCATTTTCCTGGGGTTCAAGTCAAACTTGTTGAGCCTTTTTTAGGGGAGCCAAAGAAGTTGTTGAGATTCTTTGGGGTGGGGGAGCCAGTGATCTACCACCACAGACGTCCAGTGATCTACCAGTAGATCACGATCTACCGTATTTTTCGCTCTGTAAGACGCACCAGACCACAAGACGCACCTAGTTTTTGGAGGAGGAAAACAAGGAAAAAAAATATTCTGAATCTCAGAAGCCAGAACAGCAAGAGGGATCGCTGCGCAGCGAAAGCAGCAATCCCTCTTGCTGTTCTGGCTTCTGGGATAGCTGCGCAGCCTGCATTCGCTCCATGAGACGCACACACATTTCCCCGTACTTTTTAGGAGGGGGAAAGTGAGTCTTATAGAGCCAAAAATACAGTACCTGTTGGATGTGCCTACTGTAGATCTTCCTTCTGGGGTATGGGATGGGATGCCCATAAAACACCCTCTAGCATGCCCATCCGTCCTTCCCCGCTAAATTCCCAGCGCTGTGGATTTTGGGCCCCTCATCTTGCTTCTGGGCGGCGCAGCCAAGGGGCAGCCAATTTGGGGGCTGGGGGAAAGGTGAAAGGACCACACTCCAATTTCCGGGAGGCTATGCAGGCCCCCGGGCTCTCCTCGCTTGACCCCAGGTGTGTCATACCTGAGAATAGCACAAAAATCCCAGAATGACTCTCGTTTGCGTTGCTGCTGTCGGGAGGTCAGGAAGGGACAGATCCACTGGTCTACTTTAACGGCTAAGGAGAGGAAATGAGGTTTTTGATCCCTAAAATATTATCCAAATTCTTGGTTCCTCCTCCCTCCCTAACCCGCCCCCCACCGAAAAAAGAAACAGGATTCTCCACCCCATCACGGAACTGTAGCAAGAATACTTTGTCTCTCAAGACTGCCTCCCTGGTGCTTAATCGTTTTTTGACGGATATCTTTTTTCCCGTTCTCGCCAGGCGGGGGCCGGCGGGGATGGGGACCCTGCAAAACAGCAAATACGAACCCCCACCCCAACTCCAATTCTGTCTTTCTCTGAGCCAAGGGACTTGTTCGGAACAGCTGTACATATTGCCACCAGGCGTAATACTGTGATTATGAATTATTATGAATTATTATTATTATTATTTTTAAGGCCTCTTTGCCGAGAATGAATGGTTTTGATGGACGGGTTTTTTCCGTTATTATTTTAAGTTTTAATTTCCTTGGGGAGGGTGGGAAAAATGTTGTCGGTTGGTTGTGGTTTCTTTTTTAATTTTTAAAAATAGAAACCTAAAATTCTTTCTTTTTTTAAAAAAAACAAAAACCTGCAATAATCTCTCGACGATCAAAAAATGTTTTTCAAATGACCTGCTCCCGCCTTCGCATCTTCCTCATTCAGTCCTTTGTAAACCACGCAGAGTTGCGTTTCTTGGAAACAGATCGACACACACACACACACACACACACACAATGCATTTATAAAAACGGGTTCTTATTTGAACCGCCGTGTTCTCCTTTCAAAAAATAAATAGGGGAAGGAGGCCAGATTTCTGATACAGCGAGAGAAAACGTCTCACTGGTTTTCCTCCAGGCTTCATAGTTTTAAGGTGAAACCGCAGGATGGAAAAGAGCGGATCGTGGCCATATACTCGAGTTGACCCACTGAAACTAACAGACCTTTTCTAAAAGTTTTTATTTATTTATTAAGATTTCCCCAAAATGCGGCAAAATTGCAACTAGAGAAGATGCACATCGAATCTTCTGCTTTTACTTATGGAAAACGAACGGACTTTAAGTTAGAGATCTCTGTTGGTTTCAGTAGATCTACCCCAAGGAAATGTCCGTTCCAGTTTCTCGCAGGCAAGGAAAACGGGGAGGTGCCTTAACGCTGAGTCAGCCCACACGGGCTGGCAGCAGCTGTCCAGAGTTTCAGGCCAGGGCTACAGCCTTCCCCTTAAAAGTAAAACAAGTGTCTAGTCTTCATGACTCTGGAAAAAATAGGTGCTTTCAAACAGGAAGAAAATTGGGTTTGATTAGGAACGGAAGAAGTTGAGTCAGAGCAATGGGCCGTCGAGTTCGTTACTGCCTGCACGGACTGGCAGCAGCTGTCCCCGGTCTCAGGCAGGGGTCTCTTCCAGGGGCTTCCGAGAGATTGAAACAGGGACGCTCCGCATGCCAAGCAGGTGATCTGGCACCCAGCAAGAGCCCTTCGGCAGGCCTGGTGAAAGAAAGCCCTCCTTCACACAACGCACAGTTAACCTGCGGAACTCCCTGCCACATGAGGCCACCCAACCTGGATGGCTTTGAAAGAGGATGAGACGAGATTGTGGAGGGGGAGAGGGCTGTCGACGGCTAGTAGCCACAATGGCTTTGCCCTCTTTCTGGAAACCACATGAGGAGAGAGCGTTGCTCTTTCACTCGGGTCCCTTGCCTGTTTCCCTTTTGGCCACGGTGAGAATAACAATAATAATAATTTATTATTTGTACCCCGCCCATCTGGCTGGGTCTCCCCAGCCACTCTGGGCGGCTTCCAACAAAGATACATTAAAATGTCACACGTTAAAACTTCCCTGAACAGGGCTGCCTTCAGGTGTCTTCTAAATGTCAGATAGCTGTTTATTTCCTTGACATCTGACAGGGAGGGTGCCACCACCAAGAAGGCCCTCTGCCTGGTTCCCTGTAGCTTTGCTTCTCGCAGGGAGGGAACCGCCAGAAGGCCCTCGGAGCTGGACCTCAGCGTCCGGGCAGAACGATGGGGGTGGAGATGCTCCTTCAGGTATACTGGGCCATTTAGGGCTTGAAAGGTCAGCACCAACACTTGGAATTGTGCTCGGAAACGTCCTGGGAGCCAATGTAGGTCTTTCAGGACCAGTGTTATGTGGTCCCGGCGGCCGCTCCCAGTCCCCAGTCCGGCTGCCGCGTTCTGGATTAGTTGCAGTTTCTGTAGTACAGGTTGCCAGACCATCGGCCTGATCCGCCGGAAGTGTCGGCAGCCCAACTCAAGCCCGGGAAATGAGAGGGAGGAATTCTGATTCCTTGAAAGAGAGAAAAAGACCTAGGGTGTTAAAAGGGGAATCCCAGCGACAAGAGAATGTTGGACTCCTTAGAAGGCCGGCGGTTCTCAAAATCGAAGCGGCATTTCTGCGGATCGCAGCCAAAGCCCCTGGTTTTTCATTCAAGGAATTAGGAATCAGGGGGTCAAATCCTGGCTGTGTTCCTGTGCCCCCAACACAGCCTCGACTCCTTTCCTCTTGGCCAGCTCATGCCAGCCCTCCCGACTCGGCACCCTGTGGACTTTTCTGCGCTACGACTCCCGCCAGCTCCTGCCAGGAGCGCCGGAGGCTGTGGGAGTTATAGTTCAGAATGTCTGGAGCAGCAGAGGCGGCGCTGCCCGAAGTGGGGCAGCGTAATGGTTAGCACGTTGGGGGAAAGGGGCCTGCGAGAGAGCAGGGTTCGAATCCCCAGGAAGCTCACTGGGTGCAACCCGAGGCAATTGGGGTACAGTCAACATCTGGCAGCCTGAACTTACCTCACAGGGTTGTCGTGAGGGTAGAACAATGTCGTCCACCTTGAGCTCTCCTTGGGGGGGGGAGGCGCTATTTAAATGTAATAAAGCAACAGTGTGCCCGCCACTTCCGCCAGGGTCGGGCTGAGCTGTGGTCTCGCAGCCTGGCCTTTG